GTTAGGGTTTTCCAGAGGATACAAGATATTGCCAGGCAGAATGATTTTGCATTGGCTAGGGCTACTCCTATTGCCCCTTTATATACTCTCTGGAAATTAGATTGTGGGGGAGAAAGGTATTTCCAGTTGGATCTCAATAACAGATAGCCATCCTCCTTGACTAGACTAAGGACCGAACAGATGCCTGCATCTGTTCTGGCTGGACATAGATTTTCCACTCCAAGGGCTAAAAGATGTTGCCCAGTCTGCCTAGGAGTTGTGGAAGATACTACCTGCTATGTTTTAGAATATTCTTTGTATAATGACATAAGGAGAACCTATTTATTACTGTCCTTGCAGAAATTGGTACATTTTTCACAGAGAGAAATTAATCTGGCTTTTACAGCAAACGGATCCAAATTTAGTAAACTGTCTTGCAATTTTTGCTTATAAGGCTGAGGCGATTAGAGTTAAATATCCTTTATTACTGATATGACTGGTACATTTTAACATTAGATTTGATTTTATTGTCTCAGTTGTGGATCTATGCACAACAATATTATAGGTTCATATCTTGATTTACTACTATATATTACTAATTTTTATGTGCTGGGCTCTAGTTTTTGTATAATATTTGTAATTTGGTTACATTGTTTGAACTTATTTATATTATGGTCATATGTGTGTTATGTTGTTTTTGAGAGCATGGCATTTAGCCAGAATTCTTAATATATCGAATAAATTGAATTGAATTGGATATCTGGGAGGGCAGGGTCAGTTTGCTCCAAGTGGCACAATTTGCCCCACACCAAAGTGCACGTTCAGGCACATGTGCTGAGGCACCAATCTCCGGCACAAATTTGTGCTACTGCTGCTGCAAGCGCACATGCCTGCATATGTGGACGAGCCCAGAGGCACCATATTTTCATGCCTTACCCTACACGTGGCTAATGAATCGAGCCAAGTGCTTCTAGATCTGTACCTCAAAACAATTAAATAGAGACTGTGGCAGTGATTTTCCTAACAAGCCTTTTGTTGAAAGACAATAAAATGAGAAAGAAGCAAGCAGACAGGATTATTTGGACAAGGAGCATAAGAATAATATGGTTGTCATCTCTCCCTGGGTCAGTGCTTACTATTTATTACTATAAAACACACAATTCTACGTTTGTTATAGAAAATGTTCTTCACCTTACAAACAATTTTCTCCATCATAATAGGCACCAACCCTGTGTGTGTGTGTGTGCGCGCGTGCGTGTGTTTAAAAGGGGTTGCACAACTTTAACTTGGGTTTTTGAAATTCCATCTGTAAATTGTCAACAGTAAAGGAGACACTACAAAGAATGGCTAACACTAATTTAAAAAAACAATTGTCTCATGACGCCTTCTAAAAGCACATCTTGTCTGGAACTATTGAATGCTTCTCCTCAAAATGGACTTGAAGACTATGGGCCAGGTCTTTACATGACACAACTGGATCTAGCTTCATTGAGAACAAGCAAATTAAATAATTGCATTCAAGAGTGATTTCCAAGGAAAATCTATGAAAAAAAATGGATTTGGTGATTCAGAAGGTTTCATTCTTTTTTCTAAGGAATGATTGAGTCTACATGTTATCGTATGTAGTGCTAACATGGGGACTGGGATATTGAAGGTACCTTCTTGGGTTACATGAAAAGCAAGTTTGTGATCACCAGGGATCCTGGTTTTCTCCGATTAAAAAAAAATCCCCGATTTTCAGATTTAAAGAAGTAACCCAAAATGCACAGTGTTCCATGATTAAAATGAAACACTACAATATATATACTTGTACTTGTCTATAGATATCCATATATTGTGGTGTTTCATTTTAATCATGGAACACTGTGGATTTTGGGTTACTTTTTCAATCCGAAAATTTAGGATTTTTTTTTTTTAGCAGAGAAAACCAGGAACCCTGGTGATGACTTGTGATCATGAAAGATCCCATCACTTTCCCTAGTTCCAGTTTGGGTAACGATAGGTTGCTTACTTGAAATATAATAGAGAATACTCTCTGCCACCTAAACCCTCAAGTCCATTTTTCTTTTAGAAATGATAGCTGTACATGAACATATAGGTTACTTAATGGTGGGTTTCCAAGTTATCATTTTATGCTGTCTAGGTTTATATGATCATTTTACACTAGTTATATGGTACCTGGCTAACGCAAATATCATTAGCGGGCCATGAATCTTTCCATTTTTATCTCAAATTTACAATCCCCCTGGTCTTCCACTGAGAACTGCTTTTCTTACTATTATTAATAGTTATTTTCTCATTTGTATGGTGGTATCGTCCAAAGGTCTGAAGTCAGGGTTGTTTGTTTTATTGTGCCAGATATTATATAAATGTTGTGGACCAGCAGCTGCCAATGTACGGCCCACAGTTTGGCTCCAGCCCACCAATATTTTGTAAGAGGGCCACCATGCTCCAGGATCTGGCAGAGTGCAAGGAGTATCCTGAAGTACAGTGTACTTTCGGATGTGTGGAGGAGCTGCGGCTGCAGCACGGTTTATTCTGCACCAGGCACAGGCAGCAGCTGCAGCGGTACGGACCGGGACAGAAGGCATCAGCATGTCCCTGATCAGCCAGGCGCATGGTGCAAGACAGCTTCGGGATGCACGGAGGAACCACGGCTGTAGCCCAATGGTTGGTGCACGCTGGGCTGGCTAGGCACATGCTGATGCCTGTAACGTAGTCTCTGTGGCTGCAGCTGCTACCTGGAGCATGGCGCAGAATGGACTACCTGAAAGCATGCTGTGCTTTGGGACCCTCCTTGCAGTCCGCTGGGCCCTGCAGCGTGGTGGGCCATGTGCTGGGGAGCAGTTGCGACAGCAGAGGCTGGAACAGGCCTGGGCTCTGGCACGTTCCTGACCAGACGGATTGGTGGAGCCATCAGTCAGGCAATGGTCCACGTGAGGCCGTGATCGTTATATTGCAGCGGTGGGGATGCTCTGTGGCTAGGTGCCTTCGATCAGTGTGTGACCAAGTGCTGCCTGTCCCCAACTCCCTTTGGTTGTGTGCAGGGCTGGGGACTGTCTCACTCTAGGGTTGGCAGGGGGATAGGATTTGCTCTGTTGGGTGCTCCATGAGTCCTTTCCCCTGCTGAAACACTGCAGTAAATCCAGTGTACGTGATTTGTGAAGGAGCCACGCACTGTCGCCATGCTGTGGGAGATCAACCCCATAATAAATGATATAGTCCAGCCTCCCTCAAGACTGAGCTGTGTTAATTCAGCCCTTTGGTACTGACAGGCTGCCAACCTGTTCTGTAGACAAAATGCCTGCCCTCCAAAACTGCAATATAAAAGACAGGACATAAAAGTAGATGAGCACCAAACAAACACGATGTTGGAAGCGATGTTAGAATGGTATCTTGTTAATGATTTCTCAGTGTTGCCAGCCTCAAATGTTTGAAAATCAGGAGTTGGGCCTCAAAAGGAGTTGTCAGACTGGTTCAGAACGAGTTGTGGTCGTACATACGAGTTGTGGTTAAACTCGTGTATAATCTATGTCCGTATATCAAAGCAGAGATTGTGCCTGTATCACTTGACTCCATGAGCCTGGCAACAGAAGAATGGGAAATACTGTCTTTTTAAGTCCTGGCCTAATTACTAATTTTAATTTCTTTTTAAGCTTTATCTACTGCCCAAACTGTGCCTTTCCTTATCTCTTTCCTTATTTCTTTGCTTTATTTTATTCAGGTGCAACCATCATGTTTTATGTGTACTAACAAGTACAAATTCTTACAACTGTATGGACTGCAATTAGCTTTAATGGGACTCTGCATGGGACAGCAGGCTCCTATACAAGGTCGACACTGGTATGTGTAAAAGTGCTGTGTAAATTAAGAGCGCTGTAAACAGGGTCTTTATTAAAATAATATTTAACAAGTAACATTTTGAGATAGTATCCATAGGTCACATGAACTTTGAAATTTTGCTGTATGCTGAAATCAGACGCACCGTCTCATCCCAGGAACAAATTCTTTAAAACCAGATTTAATAATAAAAAAACCCAAACCTGGTCACCTTTTCCAGTTATTTCTGAGATGCATTGTTAGATTTGTATAGCTGGCAGAGTTCAAGACAGGTCTGTATTACATCCCTAGCTGCTTAGTCCATGGGTGTTATTCTGTACAGATAACTTCTTTATTTAAAGATGTTGGGAAAAAAGCAAAATTCCTAAAAGATCCTATTGAAGTCTTTAAAAATAACAACTGGCTCCATTGCTGTTTACATGCAAAGTTCCTAGTTGATAATATAAGCAAACAAAAGGTCACCTGCAAAGGATATTTGTAAAATTGATTTTGAGAGAGTTAGTTATTTTCTCTTTTTCAATATAACCCTTCCTCCCTTACACACTTACACACACTCCCTCCACCTCCTCCCCCCAAAAAACGGTCAGGGCTCTCTATAATTTGTTAGTGCAACACCAGGATGCTAGGATAGACTTTTCCCACCATGTGAACTGGATGAGGATACTGGCCTGAGTCCAACATGCACTGTTTTTTTTTTTCTCTCACATCACTGCTTTACACTGGCAAAGGTGCTTCCACACTTGGCTGATGCAGGAGCAGATCTTTTCGGATGCATCTTACAGACTCGAACTGGCAAACTCCAGGACATGTGAGTAACTTATGCCATGCGTGCAATCTCATGGTTGTCTATGCAAGTAAAGTTATTTGTACACCTGTGCGCTTGTAAAATTGTGCCCTAAATTAAAAACAAGGCAGCAGGAAGAAATTTAGATAAAAAACGAGGAAAAGATCATGCTGTTACTGGAGTGAGAAGTGCATGAGGAGCCTTGGGCATCACACCTGTTTATTTGCCTCACTTGTTTGAAGGAGATTGCCTTGCTTTGGATAACTTCCTGCTAGTGAAGAAATAAATGTCTGGGTGAACATTTAAATCCCACTGTGTTAGTTTTACGCCAACATTGTCTGAATTGTCACAGCCCTGATTCTATCAAGGCACAGCACCGTTTATAAATATTTGTTGAACAGTCTCTGAAATAGCTTTGTCAGACAGTAAAAAAATGAATGATTCAATAAAGCCAGCAGTGATGGACGACTCGCTTGCATATATACTTTGTATATCTTATTCAGTCTCTCTAGACCTGGGAGTAGCACATTTTTACTGCCATAAAATGCCATATCCAGTTTGCTGATCTGGTGTCAGTCCACAGACTTTGCTTTAAAGGAGGAAGGCAGAGAAGTGGCTTTGAACTGGCAGAAGGAAACAGGAGTGATATTAAATCAGCCAAGTTGAAAGACGCACCGAGTGGACACAGCAGTGAAGAGTAACTAGTGCACGTGTGCTACTGTGCTAAGCGTGTCGCGTGTCGGGCTCTTTAAAGCGCGACCTTGCCTGTAAAACAGACATGTGAAAGAGAAGAAAAAGGAAGCAGCCAGGGGAAAAAATGAGGCAGCTGGTCTGGGAGAGGGGGCATTGCAAAATCTTTGTAACATCACAAACAGCTCACACTAAGGTGGGGGGAGCAGCACAGGTTGACCTACTTTGCCCTCAGGGCCTGTGCATCAGGAAATGGCCTGCCAGGGTTAAGTGACACCTCACTCCTTCCCATATAAACCGCTGATCCAGAACAAGTGTCTGGGGAACCAGGTTCAACCCTAAGCCAGACTGCCTTGCTGTTCCTTGTGACATGTGCCTCTATCTGCTCCCTGTTGGACCTTCTGGCTACCTGACTAGGCTCACCCTCTGAATCCATACTCCTCTAGGTTTAGTCCTAGACTCCACTCTGTTTGACCTCCTGTACACCTGACTCAGCTCATGCTCTGACTAGGGTGACTAGCCATCCCTAACTTGGCAGGACAGTCCCAGAATGGGAACCTCAACTCCAGGCAACAAGGGGTTGCCAGGATCGGGATGCAGGGGGCACCATGTGCGTGCCCACATGCATGCACATGGCTGGGAATACAGCCAGGTAACATGGAGAAGAGCTCTCTGCAGATAAGTCTATGCAG